ATGAAAAAAAATTCTTCATATCGCCTTTTTAGCTACTGAGCGACATACAATAAGTCGTGTGATATTGTATATGTACGTTGTACGTATGTATGATCAAAGCTCAAGTGCAAAAGCATTAGTATTAAATAGATGATCATTGATCAATTGAAATTTACGATAAAAAGTAGCAACAACAAGAAGTAATAACGCATGCCGAAGGAATTCATCAAGTCATATAGTAAAATTAAACAGGCGTCAAGTGTCTTTGTGATAAACAAACGATCAAATTGAACGTCAGTAATCAAGGCATATTTATAGTACTTTACAGTTTTTTTCTCTCTCTTTCAAATATTAACAGAGAAAGAGGGATAGAGAGGAAGATATATAGAGCGAAGGAGGTTTGCGCTCATGTGCGCGTATCAATGCTTTCAAATTGTTTTCTAACGATTAATCGACACATTCAATCTTATTGACTTTTATACATATATTTGATGACATAAATTGACTCACGCTGATTTGGTGTGAATGATTCGATATTTTTCCCCTTTATTCATTCTTGTGCGCGCATGCGCCAATATCTGCACTACATATATAAATATTTGACTTAATAAAGCCCGATCCCAATTGTCGCTAATGAAACTGATTGAATATCACATTGATTAATTTGTGTATGTGTGTTGACATGTTCTTTGTTAGAAACGCACGCATTGATGATGATTCTCTCGTTTGAAATCTCTTAAGTAACAGTTTATTTTCTATTATTTTTTGCTCTTTCCCTACTCTTTATTCATTTCATAAGTCGTATTTTCAGCGTTGTTGGACTTTTAATTAATCTAATGGGCTATTTATACATAAGCGCATCATCAGATTGCTATTTCACTTCATAGATAACTATAAAAAAAAGCAAACTGTGTGCCTATTGAAGAATGACTTGGTACTATAGCGCCACGAACGATAAAACACGGTGACGGTTTAAAACAGTGTTTCAACGCTATTACTTTTGGTCTATAGAGTATGCTGCGATTCAAAGTTATGTGTGAAAGTGTGTTCACAGTTAACTGCTTAATTGTACTTATTTATCATCGAATCTATTATGGCGCTTGTGTACTTAAACAATGAAAATTAGAAAGAAAAAAAATTACATGTAGTTCTACATAATGAATTGTATGTAAAAAAGGCATAATCGAATCTGTGTATAATCCAACCTCACTTCTATTACCACCCAACAAACATTTGTTGTGGCAAATTCATCCATTATCGGGCATATGTTGACGATCAATATTGGGGTCGGATTTGTGTGTAGTTTCAGTCAAATACAACGTCACAATGGAAAGAAAAAAGTGAAAAAACAATTCAATTAGACTGATATGAAAAATATTGACTTGATTCATAATCATCAATACTAATGAATAGTCACAATACACTTACCTACGGGATAAATTTTAGTGTGCCTCATATGAGTCCCGTACAGCACCAAGGCCACAATACTCAAGCCCAGCTAAGTAACAAAACGTTACAAGTATTATTGTTTAATTTTATCTTAATCCTACATCGACTTAAAAACTATTCATCATCGGAAACTTCGAGCACGTAATCGTCGTCACTGTCGCTATCATCGGCATTAACAGCATTTTCTACATCATTTCCATGATTTTGTGCTTGTTGTTCGCGGTGTTCTCTCGATAGCTGCGGATGCACATCTATGCCTTGCACAATACAAAGACCTATAATCGAAATCATAAGCAACAATTGTTAAAAGACAAAATAATTGATTCATTGTTTTTAATCTGTAGTACAATACCTTTGTATAAAATGCAAACAGCTGCGACAATATCGCGATGCCAAACAGTTTTCAGTTGATGTGGATGACGATCATCGATCCATTCGTTGTCATCGTTTAGACGCCATTTTTTGAAACTTATAGTAAGTTTGGACACTAAACCATATGACATTTTTGGATCTTGATTGCGTCGTTGAACATCAGCCTTTACACTTTGGCGCTGTTGTTGGTATTCTCGATTGCTTTTCTTGCTGATCACTGTTTTTCCCAGTAGCCAAATGTTTGTCACTTCACCACTTGGTATACAATGTTGACACACTTTGTATCTGTCCTTCTTCGTTCTTCGATCGAATGGGCGAAAGCACTTGCCACATGTTTGTGATGTATTGAATTCATCCACATACCGTATGATGCAATTTCCCAACTTGTTGAAGCTTCGTACCAATCGACGTACACCTGGGCATCGCAATCGCTTCTTGATACCAATCGGTGAATTGGGGGCCATCTGCGCTGCACCAATGAAAATCAAGCATGCCTTTTTCAACGTAAGCCATGCTGCAATCAGATCGGAAGCACGATTTTCTTCGATGTACTTGTCCAATCGCTGTCGAAGGTATTTTCGAGATGAATACACCGACATTCCTCGTTGCATCATTTTCACACGATGTTCGATGTAACACATCCAATGTGAACGTCCTTTGGCCGATGGATAAAATGCATATCGCTTGCGATCGTCTTGTTCCAATTTGGTGAATTCTTCAATCAATTTGTCGATTTTGCGCTTACGTTTTCCATACTTGGCATGCCAGTGGTATTTCGGACCGTCGATTGTGATGTTTTCCTATGTGAGAAATAAACAATCGAAGAATTGTTATATGAGTTAAACAGATGATGTGATTGTAAATCACAAACAATGAACAAATTGTACTTAATACCTCGATGCCAGATTTTATGTGCTTGCGTACGGTCGCATTCCATGTGCGAACACCTGGATCCATTCCTAGCACAAATTTGAATTCATTGTTGTTGAATTTATCATTGATTTGCTCATTGGTTAATTCGATTATTGGCCGTTCTGGTTTGACAAAACACAATGAAATTGCAACACTGTCGGTGAGAATTGCATAATCAAACGCCTTGCCACCGCCGATTTTCAGAATCTTCGGCATATTGAAGATTTTATCCCAATATGTAGCTGGATCGTCGCTGTACATTTCCTTTGAGATACTTTTCGGTTGTCCAAACCATCCTTTTGTCAACTTCAATGCACCCAGTTTGCGCGCAAATTCATAAAAAAGGTGGAAATCGATTCGAATGTGTTTCATTTCGAAATCGTGCAATGGAATGACTCGAAAGTTCTTGAGATATGGTGGCCGTGCAATTCGTGGTGGGGTCGGATTCTTTTTGGCTTTCCTATCTCGCCAGTACTGCCGCCATTGTTCATTCAACAAGGTATATCTGACATGATGATCAAAAATTTGCCGTTGAATATGAATGAATACCGGAATGGTTTGAAACCAGTGTTCTTTAACCCGATCATGGAATTTCTCGCCAACTGGTATTCCGATCAATTTCGCTTGATCCAAAAGCAGATTCACATTCGCACTAGTTCTCATAATGTTGTTGAACATAACCGATTTGGTGGCGTTTTTTACATCGATTTCGGTGATATTGTTACCAAGCACTAAATTCAGTTCAAAACGCTTCAATACGAAAAACTTACGTATGCGACTGTAACTCCAAACCTTGATGTTGTTTTTCAAATTGGTCGTGTATTGTTTGAAGAGTTCATTAAAAGCGTTTCCCATGCCTGCACGCAATGGCCATTGAAAATTTCGGACGACTCTTTCAATTATTTGTCTGAACTCGAGCGGCAATTTGTGCTTGTGCTCATTCAAAACAGATGTGAAACATTTTTCAATCAATTTGTACCCATTTCCGGCAAAAAATCCTTGATTATCTTCGTCAAAGGCTTTGTTGACTTCAAATAAAACCAACAAAGATGCTAAAACCGAAATGACCGTAGCTGTTTCACACCAGTAAATTGTCCAGTTCAGAACCGCTTCTCGGTACTCAGGGCGCAAGCATTGATTCAATGTCAACTTGACATTCTTGAAATTTCCATTGAGTGCACGTTTTCGCTTCATGTCGACGAAAGTGTTTTCACTGTATCGAAAAAGAAGAAAAAGTAACAAAAATTGCATTAAATAATTGCATAAACTTGACTTAAAACACTTAATAATTTCATTTGAACAAAAAATACACGATTCAGCACAAAATGATAAACAAATATATGCTGGACAAAGAGACGATCATCTTACCGTTGCAATGAATTCCGCTAAACTGAATTCAGATGACAAATTTGATGTCGTCGTAGTGCAAATATTCGCCTATTCGAAAATCAGAATCGAATCCGACTTCAAACTAACAACAAAAATCCAAATAATAAATGCATTGATCAAATGTGGAGCACCCCAAATCTTTCGATCGTACGACTGACACAAATGATTTAATGATGAATTTCGATTCCTCACGTCTTTAGTTTGTGAATGTTGTGTTATTTGTATAAAAACAAAAACAATCACAAAATGCAGGCGTAAATAAATCTATTCTTTGCAAACACAAATCCTCTATATTAAAATTCCAAGAAAGAAACCGATTGTATGAAACGACTGTGACGATGTGATGCGATGCACGATGATTACGAGGAGATTTTTTTGAATGTAAACAAATGATGTTCGCCGTCGATGTGACACACACCGCAGCCAACTGTAAAATGTCACACATATTCAAATAAGTTTCGAATTCGAAGTTCGAATTTGCATTCATGGCATGGAATAAAAAAAATAATTGCAATAATAAACGTTTGAAAAAATTCTGTTACCGAAACTGAAATCAAATCACACAAATCTCTATGTATACAAATTGTCTCTTTTTTATTTGCCTCAAACGAATAATTAGAATTGGAAAACAAAATTAAAACTTAACGTTGTATTGAGTCGGGTTCACATTATGCCGTACAATGCGGAATCTGTATGCCTATAATCAACCTTCAATTTTACACGAAAATAACCACCAAAACGGGTCAAAACGTTACATTTTTCAGCGTTAAAATGAATAAAAAACGTTACAATTTTGTTAGCTGGGCATATACGCCCAAAATGAAACATTAAGATCACTGTATAAGAATTGTAAATCAATGTGACTAATATAACATATTTCAAATATCATTATGTTACAGACACAAGCGTTGGCATTGACACGACCAAAATCCGAATCAGTATTATCACTGCAAAATGATTCAGCTTCATCGTCCGGAAATTCTGGCAACAAAGATATAATATATGAACGACAGTCACAACAACAAATACAGGTAAGAGAAAAATAGAAAATAAAATGATGAGGCATTTTGAATTGAACACATTTTGACTATGAACAATTTTCGCATCGAATATGAGCACAATATTTTTATCCCAATATTTTGCACAAAAAGACATACGACTTTAACTATAAACAAAATTTGTTGTTTGGTTCATATAGCAGCAACAACAACAATCGACACAAAAACAACAAACATTAGCTCAACAGGAACGAGCATCACCACTTAATTGCGAAAACAAAGCCCCCAATGTGGATCACATCAAAAATCAGCTTATAAATTTTGGATCACACGAAAAATTGACACATAATGATGAACTAAAACAACGAAAATCATCATCAACGAATCAACAATCGAATGCAAGTGAAATAGGAGTTAGTCCGAAAACAAACTGTTTTAATTTGTTAGGAGCATCGGTTCAATCGGAAACAGCATTAGCTTCTAGCGATGATAATACCATAAGTGGTGGTAGCGGCAATGGTAATAATCAACAACTAACAACCGGTAATTGTCCACCAACAACACCATTAGCGGCCATTTCATCAGCAACAAGTCCATTAATTGATGGACAAAATGGTACAACGGCTGCAGCTGCAGCCGCTGTTGCTGCTGCCTATATGCAAGACAAATACTTACCATCATCAACCACATCACCATCCGATCTGCGTAAAGAGTTTGATGCAAAAGTAAATGGTGAGTATTTACCCAATTTTCTATTTATTGGTCTGATGTCTTCGTTTGTGAAAATGTATAGTGCAGATGAGTGTTACCAGCTACTTTTTGAATAATACATTGTTTGAATGCAACAAATGTTTAATGAATATTATGATTTGGGATTAGTCAATACATAGACACATATTTATAGAGCGAAACTATCATACTTCGGTTCGATTTGAATTGAGTCTAATATATACTTTTTCACATATAGCCACTGTGTAAGGTATAGCATTTATTGGTGTTGTTGTTATTTAGACAGCTTTTTATCACCACGATATCAAATGTATGCAATTTTCACAAAACTTCGATAAAATCAATTAGTCCATTAGTCATAGTTACAAATTGATAAAAGAGCCACAATACGATTTGTTTGTACATATCATACCACGTTATCATTATATTATATCATTAAAGACGATGACAAACATTATCATGAGCAGCACTCTTCAAAAGTGAGGGCTTTTGCATTATACTCACTGCCGCATTACTCGCGTCATTGAATAAAAAAAAAAAAAAATTAAATCCTGTAATGATTTAATAAACTTACGAATAACACAATATCCAAGCGGAATCGTACAAATGGTGTTCTCATTGGTGAAATCAAAAATCAATGATAAAAAATCGGTTTTTCGAATTTTTTCATTCAATTTAAAGGATTATTATTTTTATGATAATGTCAATTATGGGATAAAAATTGTTTCAGCAATTCATTGCAACAAAAACAAAAAACTTATCGTAACCTTATATCTTGAAAAATTTCAAAAGTATCATCAGGCCCATTAATTATTATGGTTTTTAAGCCGTTTACCACGGTTTAAGACAGTCCATCATGGTTAAACTCAGTCTATGTATTTCGGATGGATATCCATCCGAGATATTTTAGAATATCTGGATATTTAACGCAACTGCACTGTGCAGAGCTGTGTGCGTCGCACATATAATCTACGGTATGTCGCTACACGTAAAATACAGACACAGTGTGTCTGTGTACGTGCGGCACTTGATACACATATACGTCGCGACATAACGTAGATTCTATTTGCGACGCACACAGCTCTGGCGCTGTGCAGTTGCGTTTAATATCCAGATATTCTAAAATATCTCGGAAGGATATCCATCCGAAATACATAGACTGGTTAAACTCGGTCATGTTGTTAATATTTCACGTATTTTTAACATTTTTACCATGATAGCCGATTCCGTAAACCATATTAAATAATGTTTTAACAGTTTTTACCATGATGGTCGACCCCGTAAACCATGTTAAATCATGTTTTGAAATTTTTTACCATGTTAAATGGTTTTATACTACGATATACCATCATGTCCGACCTCAATAACCGTGTTAAATGATGTTAGACTACGATGGAGTATGATGTCCGATATCAGTAACCGTGTTAAATGGTGTTAAACCACGATGGACCGTGATGTTCGAACTAAATGATGTTAAAATCGCTTAATCGTCAAATTTTTTCATTTTAAACCATTTACCACGGTCCATCATGGTCGGCCATCATGGCCACCACAGTTTACCACGGTCCATTCTCGCCTTTTTGACAATAAAATGTGCAAAATACGGTAAAAATACGGTTTTTTGACCATAATGACCGTGTTAGACCACGATGGCCAAACATGATGGTGCCTATGTTGCCAAGACCTTTCCAACGGTACCACTTTTATCCGGATCGGTTGAGGCGTTTGGACGCCAACCCGGAACACACAGACATACATACATACATTCACTTTTATATATATAGATATATAGATAATGTCGCATTTTTTTCAAAATTTGAACGTTTATTGAGAAAAAGGTTGTACAATAGTGTTATTCAAAGTATTTCCCATCACCAGCTACTTTTCCCCATCTTTCTGGTAGCATACGGATTCCGTGTCGGAAGAACTGTTCATCTTTTGATGCGATGAATGAATCGACCCAATTTTTGACTTCTTCAGAAGAAGTAAATCGTGTACCAGCCAGGTTGTCCTGCATGGATCGAAACAAGTGATAATCAGAAGGAGCAATGTCTGGGCTATACGGCGAGTGGGGTAGCACATCCCATCGAAGTGTTTCCAAGTATGTCACGACATTTGCAACATGTGGCCGAGCATTGTCATGTTGAAGAATAACTTTGTCGTGTCTTTGCTCATATTCTGGCCGTTTTTCGCGCAATTTTCGGCTCAAACGCTTCAATTGTAATCAGTAGCGTGGTCCATCAATGGTTTCATTCGGTTTCAGCAGCTCATAGTACACCACACCTCGTTGATCCCACCAAATACACAGCATTACCTTAAATCCGTGGATATCTTGCTTTGATGTCGATGGTGCTGGTTGGCCGCGCTCATCGTAGTGAATTCACTTTTTTACGATGCAAAAATCCCTTTCTTTTCTGTCTTTGAAGCAGCTGTTCGCAGGTGAAATATCGTCTTTCCACGTCTCTTGGCTTCAGTTCATGTGGTACCCAATTTCCATGCTTTTGAATGAATCCTGCTGCTTTCAAACGTTGTGAAATGGCTGCTTGAGTGACTCCCAATGATTTTGCAAGTTCTTCTTGAGTTTGACACGGATCTTCATCGAGTAATGCCTCCAATTCTTCATCTTCGAACTTTTTTTCTCTTCCGGCACGCTCCTTGTCTTCGACATTAAAATCACCATTTCTGAAGCGTTCAAACCAACGCTGACACATTCTTAAGTCTATAGCATAGTCAGGATAAGCTTCAGTGAGTAAACGATGTGCTTCAGATGCGTTTTTCTTCAAATGGAAAAAGTAAATTAACACTTCCCGCAAATGATCTTTTGATACCACGAAAGTCGACATTTTCACCGTAATAAAAAAATTTTGTGTGTAAACTTGTGTTCACTGTGACAGATGGTTTTTAATAGATTTTTTGACGCTCTTTAAGATACAATAGCTGTCAATGTCAAAACAATGGTACATATGATTGTTGTGAAGTTAGATACGAATGCGACATTATATATTTATACTTCCAATAATTGAATTTTATCTAATTGATTCACACACACAACTAACTGATATGGGCAACAATATATTATTCCATTTGCAGTGTGTATTGCATTTTACTCTCAAATTAAAACTATTCATCCAACAAATGGGATGATTTAAAAAAAAGAAATTTCATGGTGAATATATTTATTCACCGTCTGATCACAGACTGAATTTATCACAAAATTTGTACAATATCGTTCACAATGAAACACCACCCGATCGTATACCCAGCCACCAGCCTTCTCGACTTCGGAGCAGCAGAAATCGATTGTGTTCACTGTTTTTATTTCTATATAACACATAAAAGTTCAAAATTAAATTTTTCACCGAACAAATATCACATTTTCCAATTTGACAATATTGTTCCTAAAGATGTGTCTTGTTTCCGATTCTAAAAATATTTCTCTTATCAAGTTAAAGTTTCTACAAGCTACGTAAAACGGCTGATTATGTGCGTAATCCGATGAAAATGCCCTAACTCTTATTAGTTCTGTACTTCTCAAATTTCTTTGGTTCTCATTATATTGCAGTCTTGTATATACAATTTTATCTCTAAGTGAGCTAGACACTATTTTACTTAAAAGCAGATCATAAATTAAAAATATAGAGGCATTTATACGCCGTCTCCAAAGCGGTTGAATATTCAAAACATCACATCTAAACTGATACGGTGGCAATACATAATTCTCATCTCTCTGATATACATATCGTAACGACCAAATAACAAAATCTTTTTGAATTGATTCTATTCTATCGGAGTGGATACGATGGTATGGAAGCCATACAATACTCGCGTATTCCAATTTTGACCTAACTAGTGCACAATATAATATTTTTGCAGATTCTATCGTGTACTTATTTTTTAATGTTCGTTTGATGAAACCCATTGCCGCATGTGCACTGGCTGTAATCGCATCGATGTGATCTGTGAATGTCAGTTTTGTGTCGAAAATAATGCCAAGATCCTTGTGCATTTTGGTCCGTTCAAACGTATGATGGCCGTTGTCGATCGTATAGTCGTAGTTGACTACGTTTGCACCCTTTGCATACGTCATTACGTAGCACTTCTTCAGATTCAAATGCAGGTTGTTTTCGTTACACCAGTCGCTCAATTGATCAATGGCCCTTTGAAAAATGATGGCATCAATGGGCGAATGTATAGTGCGGATCAATTTCAGATCATCTGCAAATAATAAAACAAGTGCATTTGACACGGTTGCAACAATGTCGTTTATGAAAATAATAAAGAGACATGGTGAATACCAATTGGTAAGGCATAGAGTATTCAATAAAATTAACGCAATGGTCGTTTCTAGTGTACAAAAGAAAATTCTTTTCAGAATGTATTGAATTTCATTCAACTTAAAAACCGAGATATCTTCCGTATTTTTTGCTATAGAAATTATTCTCTCTCATTTTTTTTTTATTTGTGAAATCAGTGTTATTATGCTGCAACTGCTACTCAAGGAACATTTTTAAACCAAGCGTTTTGTAGGTGTTTTTTTTACCCCAAAAAAGAATTTAACGTCTTTTGCGTACGATGGAACGAAAAAAATGCATGCATAAACATTAATTTATAAACAATTTCATAGACGTTAATATTTTGAAAAATAGTTTTAACGACGTTCGTTTTTTCCGTTTGGCGCTATTCTCCTTCTTATCGATTATTTTGGGTTGTTCTCTCTCACAGAAGACGTCAATTGTAATATTTGCGAACTCTGGTGGTGATTTACTAAATTACCACCATTACAATGTGTGGCATGGTGATTTTTGTATGTATTGTATTTGCTTTGCTGTGACAGCGCTGTACAGTATTACCACCAACACTGCGTTGAGCGATAGTAATATTGCTCAGCAAAGCAAATACAATACATACAAAAATCACCATGCCACACATTGTAATGGTGGTAATTTAGTAAATCACCACCAGAGTTCGCAAATATTACAATTGACGTGTTCTGTGAGCTCTCA